CAAGTCAATAGGCAGGAATTCTAATGACTCGTTGGCACACACTTGAACAAGAAGGGGGACAGAAGCAGAGATTTAGCTAAGCTAACTAGATAGTTGATAAACAGACCTTCTCTCCTCTTGAAATTAGTCCTGGTGACACAGCAACCAGACATAACACTGTTTGAGAACCCATCCATCCATCCATCCTCCTTCTTTCCTTCCATCCTCTCATCAATCAGCAGCTCTTTCTTATTTCCAGATCCATGTTTCAGTAAACCTTAAATGAGCTGTTTGGACAGTCAGGAGCAGCTCCAGGGAACCTTTAGCCCTTCAAATGTATTATACCAGTGTCATTCAAAGTTGTGGTTCTTGGACCAATGCCGGACCCTGAACCATCAGTGTCCAGTCCCCCAGAAAGCTTCTAAGAAAAAAAAGGAAATAATTGTAGCAAATGGGATAAATATGGTACAGGTTCTTGGCACATTGGGGGAAAATTGTTGGTCCCTTACATCAGATAGTTTAAGAAGTATTAGGCAATAGTTCCTATAACCCTTTCCCATTGGCCATGGAGATTGGGGCTTCTAGGGGATGAAGTCTTGGACATCTGGAGGGCCAAAGCTTCCTCACCTTTGAGGAAAAAGTGATGCTTCCAGCCCTGGTGGCGCAGTGGTTAAATGCCTGTACTGCAGCCACTCACTCATAAACCACAAGGTTGCGAGTTCAATACCAGCCAGGGCTGAGGCTCAACTCAGGCCTGCATCCTTCCGAGGTCGCTAAAATGAGTACCCAGCTTGTTGGGGGGCAATCAGCTCACAGTTGTAAACTGCTTAGACATCCCATAGTGTGATATGAAGCGGTATATAAATGAAGCTGCTTTGCTTTGCTATATGTTTCCCCAACCCATCACCCAGCCACCTGCCACCTGTACAATAGGTATGTCTGGAAGTCTTCTGCTTTCTTCAGCAAATACTTGAGCTTCTCTGTAATGGGAGCTAGGAGCTCCTCCAAAATGATGTTCATTTCTGATGGTGACTCAGGCTGTGATGGCACATTGCTCAGCCAGTGGGATTCGGCAATGGGAGGGGAGATGAGACACAGCCCTGGGCTACGAGGACTGAGGCTCAGAGTGCCTTCTGGGCTAGAAGATGGAACATCCACACAGCCATCTGAGAGGCAACTGTAGCCTTGCTTGCTTGCCATCTTCAGACACTAGTCTTGGGGAATCTGCCAAGAGAAAAGTAGAGAACTAAGCAACATTGGAACACAACAGTTTCCAAAGATGCTGTCAAGCATAGATGTATGTCTCTAGATGAACCCTTATCCTTCCATCCTGTTAAAACCACTGAGGTATAATAGATGGAGTCCTGTGTTCAAATTCAGAATCTTCCCTTGGTTACATTTCCCCCTTTCTACAAGCAGTCTCACCTGCCTTTGTGGATTACTAGTTAATAATGTTTAATAACCTATCTCATAGAGATGCCTGTGAAAATAAAATGGAAAGTACACTGTATACACTGTTCTGAATTGGGGTAACACATATGCAAACCTTTTTTTCCTGTGCATATTGCAAAATATATGGAGGCGTGTGCTAAATTTGCTTTACAGGTGGGACCCTGTGACATATGTTGTAATGTAGTCCTCTTTCTGAAGAGTATTTTATTCAAGGCTTCAGACAGCCTGAAATAGGAGCTTTTAGGCTCTTTGAATCCTGCTGACAGGGGGATGACTTGACCTTCTTCTGTGGTATGCTGCTGCAGAAGAAGAAAGTCCCAGACCTGAAGCAATAACAGTTCCTAAACAATTATAACGATAGTTATTTTAATTATTGTAAAGGTTGGATGTAAATCAATTTTTTTAAAAAAATTAAGTGATATGACATGTTTGAGCAAGAAAATTATTGAAATTAGAAAGATTGCTGAAAGCATCTCTGATTTTCAGAGTTAGACCTTGCCAGACATCTCTTTTGTTGGAAAATTTACAAGTAAATAGTCTGTAAGAAGGATATGAAAATGTTTTTTCAGTCAAAATCCACTAAGATCTGCATTCCTGGAGTTGATGCATCTAGAATCAAAGCCAGCCAGAGCCAGAGCCCAAGCTGTGTGGCTTGCAAAGCAGGCCTTAATAAAACCGGGCCAATGTCTTCTTGTGTCCCTTGGACCTCAGGTTTCCCACTGGTCAGCAATTATTAGAAGATAGCCCGGAAGGTGAGAGCCATTTTGGCAAAAGGCATAGCTTTTCTTTCTCCCCACCCTAACTAAGGATGATAATGTGAGAGAAATATTGTGTGTGTGATTTTATTTGTATGTATGTATGTGAGACAGAGGAGGGAACGAAAGAGACAGGCTACAGTTAGAGCTGGTGGACAAATGCACAGAAAGAAGACAGGTATTTGGGGCTAAAATTGCCAAGAAAACCCCATGACAGGGTCACCTTAGGGTTGCCATATGTTGGAAACAACTTGAAGGCACACAACAACAGGGTTGGGCCTGTGTGATAAACTCTATTGACTATGACAGCAACATCATCTTAAGAACATATGAGGAGGCCTCTCTGAACAGCTGATGTGGGGGCATGACATTTATATTGGTGGTATATTTAAACCCAGGGGTCAGCAACCTATGGCCCGCGGGCTGCACCCAGCCCGGCAAGGCCTGCCAACCCCCACTGCCGACCCCCACCGACCCCTGCCGCCACTGCGTGCGTGCGCCGCTGCCGCACCGCCACCACCATATGCATCATGGCTGCCATTTTTGTTTTCCAACATGGCGGCCGCGACTCGTTTGCGCATGCGCAGTACTTCTGAGCATGCGCAAACGAGCCACGGCCACCATTTTGGAAAACAAAATGGTGGCCATGATGTACATGGCGGCAGTGTGGCGGCGGTGTGCGCAGCAGCAGGGGGCGGGGCGGTGGGGGGTGTGCGCACGCGCCACCATTTCTCCCCCCACCATCAGCCTGCAGAAGACCTGAGAATCCCCGGACCAGCCCCAGGTAAGGGGAACTTGCCGACCCCTGTTGAAACCTGTCTGCTTTCCCCTCTGTTCAATCTGTATATTTGTAAATAAGTGCAAATGAGGATAAGTCTCCAGTCTTTTTTTCCCCAAAGGACTTCAAATCCCTGTAAGTGCCACCCCTTTGGAACTGTTCACTGTTTAAAAAGTACTCGTAACAATATATAATATGCACAGCATAGTTGAGGGGACTGGATCTTGTATGTCTTTATTTAAGTAGTCTATGGATTTTTATCACACAGGACGAATCCTGTGCAGAAGCTAGATTTAAAGTGAAAACAACCCGCTTTTGTAGGTTGTTTTTCACATGACTTTTGGGGTTAACCTGAACAGAAAGTAGACAAAACCTGCAATTGTGGGTTGGTTTTCAGATTATGTTTGTATGAAAGAGAAATAATGCAAAAATAACCCGAAGGGAAGGCCAACAAAACCTGCTTCTTTTTACTTTTGGGAACTTCCGAAAGTAAAAAGGAGCGGGTTTTGGCAACTTTCCATTTGGGTTAATGTCATGTTATTTCTCCTTTACAAATACATCGGAAATGCTTTACATCGGAAATGCTTCCCACCCACCCCCGGATTTTTAAATCCTGTTTCTGCGTGGAATTTAAGCAATTTGCCTCCGTGTGATAAGGTCCTATGATGAGCCCTTGGACTTCATACCGTGTTCTTAGGTAAGGACTCCTCAGAGGTGGTTTACCATTGCCTTCCTCTGCAATACAGCCTATATAGCACCTGGTATTCTTTCGGGGTCCCCTTTCCAAGTACAATGAGGCCTGACCCTGCTTGACCTCCAAGATAATCCTTGTATAGTTCTGTGGGACTTTTTCAGCCAGATAGCAGGTACCCTTTGCTCTCAGCAATAATCCTCACCTCCAGAACACTTGCTACAAACTGCCAGGTGCTTCAGTTGACCACTTCCCACCTTCCGTGTTTTGAATGGGGATGGCTTTCAACTGACATCCTCACGTTCTCTGTCTCAACTGTTCTCAACCATTGACTTAGCCACTACCAAACTCATAGAGTTTCTCTGGTCTCTAATTTCTTGACACTCATTATAAGTCTCATCAGCTGTCTTGCCAAGAAATCTGGGTTTGTGTGTGTGTGTGTTTATTTTAAATACATTTTACTTCACAAGTAAATGGAAAAATGAAAACCTCCCAACAAAAGAGGATTGGTTAAATAAGCTGATTGATATGATGAAAATGGATAAATATACTAATTTGCTGAAAGGATATGACTGGGAACAAAACGAGAGAATATGGGGACTGTTGTCTGAATATATAAGAAAGTAATTAAAACAATTAAAGGTAATATAAGGAAAATAGAAATATATTAAGAGCATATTAAGGCATGGAAGTGAATAAAAAATGGAAATTTCTGTTCGATAATTTTTGGAAATAAGCTTTATAAAGCATATTATTTTGTCTTAATATAATATAAGAGGAGAAAGGTTTGTTTTTCTCTATAATATGTGATGTATAATGACTTGGTAAGGGTTCAGGGAGTTTAATGTAGAATGAAAGAATTGAGGTTTAGGAATATATGAAGGAATAAAAGAAACAAGGTATGTATATGAATTTAGATCTGTAGGTTAGGATGATTGTAGTGTTTATGATTGGACGTAGGTTAATTTATACTACAAAATTGAATTTTTAATATGTTATGGTATGTATGTGTTTATATGTATGCTTGTTTTTAATTCAATAAAATTAATTTTTAAAAAATACCTTTTACTTCACAAACATATGCCTCTATGTACAATCACTTTCAAAGTGTTAAGTATTGGGCCACTCAGTTTTGCTATTAGAGAATATGATGATGATGAAGGATGCTTAGGAGTATATGTAGTATACAAACAGCTGTTGTCTGCCTTCAAGTCATTTCTGACTTATGGCAACTAAGGCAACCCTATCATGGGGTTTTCTTGGCAAGATTTGTTCAGAGGTTTGCCATTGCCTTCCACTGAGGCTGAGAGCATGTGACTTGCCCAAGGTCACCCAGTGGGTTTCATGGTTGAGCAGAGAATTGAACCCTGGTCTCCAGAGTCATAGTCCAATACTCAAACCACTACACCAGCCTGGCTCTGATACAAACTGTACAAGCTGCTTTTACTGGAGTATGAGAAGGTGGGTTATGGATTCAACAACACATGTGCCATTTTGTACCTTAGTTTTGACAAAGTGACCACCTCTCCTACAATGAAGGAAATTAAGGGCCTTTGCAGATTGCCAGAAATAGTGCAAATTGAGTCCACTTTTAGGGTTAGGGAATCATGGGAACTGTATTTTTTTGTGGCACCAGAGCTCTCTGACAGAGAAGGCCCAATGTCTCAGAAAAAATACAATTCCCATGATTCCCTAGCACTAACCCTAACCCTAAAAGTGGACTCAATTTGCACTATTTCTGGCAGTCTACAACCCCCCTAAATTAACCTTTTGCCCTAGTGACCACTTTCTTCATTGTATTCTTGTGTTGTCCCATGTTTTGTGGTACTGGGATATTGCTTTGCTGATGTGTCATTAGGTCTTCAGTAAAGATAATGCTGAGTAAGATGATTATGGAGTAATAGAGATGGATTGGGTGACCTGAAAACATTTGGAAGAAAATGGTGACCTACTCATAACTGACACACTATTATGGTTAAATGTGAGGCCCCCAGCCTCAGCCAAGATGCATTTTTCTAGAAAGATACAAGAGTTAGGGTTCAGAGGGGAAGGAACCATAGGCTTTTGCCATCTATATGAGGAGCATGTTCTACAAAGGCAAGTGGGTCTCCTTCCTCCTTCTTATTTCAAGACCTATAACAGCTGGTGAACCCACAAAGTTACAAATGGTCCTACTAAGAAAAGAGGGAGGAAATAGGGCTGCAACAGGACCCTTTGTTGAAGAACAGAAGTTGCAAGTAAGCAAGCCTCTTTTTCCTCCCCTTTCTTATGAGTGTTCATATTGTTCCCACTCATGGTAAATAAAGTGGCAGATATTTGCAATTGGAGAAGATGGTTCTTGAACCTGAATCCTTCAGAAAGGTAGACCTTCACAAACTCATGGTATCTATTTTACTCCACTAAAAATGAATAGCTTTACCCAGTGGCACCTAGGCTGCACCTACACTGCAGAATTAATGCAGTTTGACACCACTTTAACTGCCATGGCTCAATGCTATGGGATTCTGGGATATGTAGTTTTGTGAGATATTTAACATTCTTTGGTCAGAGTGCTCTGGTGCCACTACAAATGCCAGGATTCTATAGGATGAAGCCATGACACTTAAAGTGCTGTCGAACTACATCAATTTTGCAGTGTGGTAGTAGCCCAAACAACTGAACTATGTATATGTGAAATTCCGTCTGAACAATGTACATCCATTAGTCCCTAATTATTAGTGGCTGGGAGTGCAATCTTTGAATGAGCCAACTTAGTACAGTGGTTTGAGTGTTGGACTAGAACTCTGGAAGACCAGGGTTCAAATCCTTGCTTGGCCATGGAAACCCACTGGGTGACCTTGGGCAAGTCACATTCTCTCCACCTAAGAGGCAAGCCATAGCAACTTCTAACTGTTTAGAAGAAAGAAATTAAAAGTGTGCGTACACATACACACACTCCCATTTATTAGAAGATGCTTCTCAATTCAATGGGATAAAATCCAGATTGAATATTTTGGAGAAGATCTATGGCTTCATTTGGGGGGGGGGGAATGGCTTCATTCCATATATACTATCTCTCTCATTTATATTCTAGTTCTGGGGATGATAGAGGCCAGCTTAATTCCAAGTCCAAATTCAATAAGACTTCTTCCTTAAACTGACATATGTTTTACCTTTTTGCTTCCTGACTTGGCATTTGTGCTTCAGTACAGCTTTGGCCATTGGTCCCATCAATAAGAGAGGAGATTCTTTTAGTATTTCATATTCTCCAGCTGTTGTGATTTCACAGGGACGGTCCCAGTTAATCCTCTGTCATTCTATTTTTAAAGCTGCTTTTAAAATGTCCCAGTTTTTCCCACTTTTCAAATTGTCTGTCCCCAACCTCCAATAGTTTGGATAGTCTTGGCAGCAGTCCCACTGGACTGAAAGTGTTGCTGCTAAATGTCAGGTTAGTAGATGGGAAAACATCTTTGACCGAGGACTTGGTCTTAGATAAGCATGATGATCTGCCTTGTATAATGGAGGCCTGGCTGGATGAAACTGTGGGAAGGAGGGTTAACCTCTCGCAGCTTTGTCCACCTGGGTTCTCTGTAGGCCTGGGGTGTGGGGATGTGGAGTTGCAGTGGCCTATTGAGATCCCCTCTTCCTCACCAGGTGCCCTGTGCCATATTTTGCCAGGTTTGAATGTGTTCTTTAGAAGGTGGGTGGCCAGATCAAAACAGGGATTCTGTTGTACCACCTATGTTGCTGCTCAACAGTCTACCTTCCTGAGCTAGCTTCCTGAGTTGGTCTTGGAGGTGGTGTTGGAGTCCCTTTGGCTAGTTGTACTGGGGGACTTCAACATCCATGTGGAACCTGCTCTGTTAGGAGCAGCTCATGTTTGCCGTGACAACCACTGGGCTGTCCTAAGTAATATCTGGTGCTGTCCATGCTGCAGGACACACTGTAGACTGGGTTTTCTGTTCTGTCTGGGATGATGGTGATCAGGGTGTAGAGGAACTTTCTGTAGATCCATTGTCATGGACTGATCACTATTTGATTGGGTTTAGACTCACTGAGACTCATAGCTTCTACAGGGATAGGAAACTCCAGGAGACTTGTGGATCCAGGATTCCTGATGGCTCTTGGAGTTTCTTGTTGCCTTGGCAGGTGTTCAAGCCTCTGGTTGCTATCCTGCAGTGCTCCTTAGGGCTTGGTTCTGTCCCCCATACTATTTAATATATATATAATCCACTGGGAGAAGTCAAGCAGGTAAAGAAAAATTCAGCTGAAGCCACACAATGCAGCAGGGATTCTGCTTGCTCAGGTGTTGCTCTGAGGGCCAGTCTCCTCACTAAGCTGGGTGAGCAGCAACTCTCTCCTGTACATTACTATGAGTACCTCTTCTCCTCCCCCTGTAGTAGTCTGCTGCTGGTGTTTCATCAACAATAATGAACTGAAAATCAGCTTTGAGTCCAGTTTCCTGCTGTACATGGACTGGAGGCAGCAGGGCACAGGTGTTGTTCTTTGTGTTGGGCACAAAAACGTCTTAGGTAAAGAGGAAGCTGGCTTATACTGTTGGGCCCATCTAACACAGTGCTGTCAACTCTGTCCAACAACAGCTTTTTGAGGCGTCAGTCAAATTCTTTCCTAGCCCTAACTTGAGAGCTTTAGTGTTAGAACCAACCATGCTTACCTTCCAAAATCAGATGGACAAGTGTGATCAGGGCAGTGTGATGATCTTGAGCTGTGCTACTCCCGTTGTATTCCATCACTGATACATGCAGAAAATTTGTTCATACTACATGGAGTGTAAGTCGTGGCATGCAGTTAAAAGGTCAGAGCCTAGTGTGCCATGATGCATGCCATGAGTTCCCTGAGCTAAACTATGGAAAGCACTGCAGTTTTACTTAAAAACAAAACCACTGTAGTTTTTTGTGGGTTTTTCGGACTGTGTGGCCATGTTCTAGAAGAGTTCCTTTCTGACGTTTTGCCAGCATCTGTGGCTGGCATCAGAACTCTTCTAGAACATGGCCACATAGCCCGAAAAACCCACAAAAAATTATGGATGCCGGCCATGAAAGTTTACGACTTCACATTGAAAACCACTGTACTTTGTAAGTTTTCATGGAAAGCTTTTAGACCTGAATGGTGTGTCCAAGTTTCTCCCTTTCCCCTTAAGCTTTAGAGCAGGAGTGAACCATGCAGCCTTCCAGATATTGTTAGACTGCAACTCACCTGTGCTCCAGCCAGCCTAGCCAATGGTAAGGAATACTAGGAGCTGCAGGTCAAAATTTGATGTACTGCAATTATGGAAGTCATGCACCATGAATCAAAGTTGTTTCAAAGGCAGTTAACAATTCCTATTCCTGCCATAGAACAAGAGTATGGAACTGGTAGCCCTCTGTATGTTATTAGACTAGACAGCTGTGAAGGATAATAAGAGTTGTAGTCCAACAGGATCTGGGGAGTCCTTCCTGTCTATGCCATAAATCTTTAAGGGGACCAAAGACATTGCAGACCTTCCAGCATTAGGTAACTGGATACAGCTGTAGGAAACTTTCTACTGGAATTGTGCTCACTTCCTCATGCACTTTTGTTCTTTTCAGAGGTTCCTATGGGCTTTGTTGTGAACCAGTATTTTCCAGCAAAACAGTTAATGTTGTGTGTTCTTTTCAGTCCTGGAATATATATACATATTAAGGCTTTAAAATACATGTGTAGTGAGAAATAGAGGGTTGCTGAAGAGATTGGGGTGGTAGATCATGATAGAAGGAGGAGGGCCACATAGGTGTAAAAAAACTGTATCTGACTTATTGCTGGATTGGCTGAGACTCAGGTGGCTTACCTGTATCTGTAGCTCTTCAAGTGGTTATCTGTGAACTAAGACAAATGCAGAATGACCCAGTTGTGTGAGTCACAGAGATGATAAAAAAAGGACAGGTTGCTTACCTATAACTGTGTTTCTTAAGAGTAGTCATCTGTGAGTTCACACAAGTGGGTTATTCTGCCATTTGTGTGGATCACAGTGAACACATAGATGAAGTAGAAATAGGGTGGGGAATTATTTCATATGACAGGTCCATTCACTAGTGTCCACAAGTGGGACTAATTCTAATCACACCAAAGAATTTCCTTTCTACACAATATCCACCTCCTTATTTCTAAAGACACTGGTGGGTGCTACCACCATGCCACCAGGACCAAAGGATACCCTAGTTTTTTATAGACACTATTAGGTTCAGCCATTCTCTTTGAGGAGAATCAGGTATAATAAAGTGATATCCATAGGAGTTTTTAAAAAATACAGCTTGAAGGGAAAGTAATTTGGTGGTGGTATTCACTGAGTACTGTGCAAATCCCACACATTAATAGTTGGTTTAAAATACTCTCAGTTCCTTTCTACCAGAAGGTCTACTCTTGTGAAAAGAAGAAATGATACTTTCCAAGCAGGCTTTTTAAAAGACCCTGAGAAGCCTAGGGTGAAATGCTCAGTGAGGCCTCTTGCCTCGTGTCAGTGTGGTGCATTGGCCAGACAGCTGGACTAAGATGCAGGAAATCAGGGTCTCTCCACCAGGTGACCAGTCACTGACCAGTCTTCTTCAAAGGGTTAGGGGGAGGATAAACTGGAGAGGAGGAAAAGCATAATATAAATTGCTTGGGTTCCGTAAAGGAAAAAAGAAGGGCTATAAATATGACAAAAAAAAGTCTGATTATGGCATAGGCTAGCACATGCCCATAGCTGTAGCAATAATGTGGCTGCCACTATCTTGCTCATGCAGTCATGACCAAAAGACACTCCCACCAGTAGTCTGTTTGTGAGTCCCACTCACCCATTACATGTATGGAGCTCAAATATGTGGGACTGTGGGAGCAGCAAACTGACACAATGCAGCAATGCCAATGTTGGTGTGACTCCCTCTATTTGAGCCCCTTCATATATAAAACCCAGGATAACTGCCTCCTCCACCACCACTCCAAAGCCCTGGTTTTCAAGTGCTGGTCCCAGTAGTGGCCACAGTGTCCCAATAATCAACTCTGTCTCAACATTTCTTGCCCATTCTGCTTTTCTTAAACTGGTGGTACTCCTCAGTTAGTAGTTGTGACATGTTTTCTGTATTTAGGTGTTTTCTCAAGTAAGGAGGGACATATTTTGTAATTCTGTCATGACAAAAGGGAGAGTGGTGATGGATACAAGGTCATCCTTCCAATAAGAGATTCAGAGAGTCCAACATGTACCCTCCCCCAACCTAAATATAAAAGAATAAAGAGGCCAAAGTAGCTATAGCAGCTACATCTTCCCTACAACTACTATTTTCCCCTCACATTTTCAATGTTGGACCTTTCTACATGAAGTACTTAATGAAACTGAGACCAACAATGCAATCCAGACATAAATCTTATTCAGAAATATATGGTAGGTTACTCTTAAGTGTTAGGATAGTAGCCAAAATCTTCTTCCCTCCTCTCCTCAGCTGCACATTCAGAAGTAACTTCTGGTTATCTGAAAAGCCACTTCAGGAGCCAGCCATACTTTACTCTCAACTTGGATCCATCATGGATCATTTGTTGACACTAGGCAATTGGAAAATCTCAATTTCCTTTTTAAGAATGACACTTACATGCAAGAAAAAGACCCAAGAAAAGTGTTATGCACACATTTTGTTATTGATAGCAGCAACAGCAACATTCTACTGTGTGCCATGCAAGAATATAGGCATCATAGCAGGAGGTGTTAATAAATTAAGAAGACTAATGTGGAGAACAACTAATCTGGAACTTCCAAATTAAGCATCAGTCTCTACATTGATCCAAGGAAAATTAACGATCAATTTCTGTCATCTAGCTGTATTGAAAA